TTATAGAACGATCGACTAGTTGATAGCTAATATTCTTCTCCTAAATAGTTTACCCAGGGTTGCCTCCTTCTTAGGTAGAGCCACTAGTGGTAAGAGTGAAACCCGTCGTTGCACACAAACAGGAAGCGAAAGCGGGAGAATGAATGCGCTTGGCAAATGATGAGTCTTCTCTCACCTAGGTGTCATATGTTACGCTAGTATTCTATCTCTTCCATATATTAGATATCTAGCTGTTCTCATCCTATAGAGTTTAGACCGTCATTTTGGAGTTTTCCTAAGTCGACTGTCAATTCCCGACCTTAGTCTATGCACAAAACATTCCACAGATGACGCGCTCACTAAACCAATGGAACCAATTAGCATTCATCGGAACATGGCTAATGAAGAGGGTATAGGTATTTCATGATTCAAAACGGTGCTATTTAAAGTTGTTGAGGAACATACGCCTAATACTTAGAATATACTCATAGGGAATTATTGCAGTCCAACTAGAAAGTTAGAGGATCGCATCACGCCGTCTCCTATATCAGAGCCCGTCGCAGGCTATAATAATTTTCCTCTAGGGAGAGATTATCTCCAACACTCCGTGTCACCAAAAGGGCGAGATATCTATGTCTGACTAGGTATAAAAAATACGTGTTAAACTTATGGGTCATAAAATAATGATACATTGGAGAGAATCCTCAGTAACACAAACGATATCAAATATCGAACAACATATCAAGACCAATATGAGGTGCTTATCACGCATTTACTCAACACTGATGTGAATGATCAGGATCGCCTCTTCAACACCACAAGCGCAAGTCGATTTGCTAAATTGTTATCTAAAATCAAATCCATTCAACCCACGGATAGCTTCTAAGGTGCAGGTCCCTTTTTCTAGAATCAAAAGCAAACAGATAAATCCCACACTTACAAGTTTGAGTAGAATCAATTACATTCTAATACTATCACCCACAAGGCTGTCTCCTTCGCTTATGGTTAATTCCCATTCCTTAGGACTCTACACCAGCGAGAGGCTATCAAAGTACGAAGCAAAACGCAGCAACAGGAAGAAACGGACAAAAATATGGACTTCACTCCTACGACACCTCAAGGGTTAGGGTTTCAACCTGTCGCATACTGAGCTATCTACTAACTTCCTTTCCTTAGGGTAGATATCTCCTTCTTACGACACGCCCACTAGTGGAAGTACGCCGTTAGTTGGCACCAGCAACTGCGACAAATCCCCTGTAGGCAAAGGACGCTATTATATTTAATTCAATCCCTTTTACAAAGATGTCACGCCCTTCATCCTCATAAATCAATATGAATAAACCCATGACTTGATCTCTAGAGACGATATAAAGAGTGAATATGGATTCCTCTATGATCCTTCATTCTTCTAACTGAAATTCGTTTATAGGGTAACAGAATATGATCTACCCCCTGAGATCGCTTGGCATTTCTTTCACACTAGCGCTCCAGGAGATACTCTGTACAGTACATATTATAGCCCGGTAAGCTTCTGAAAAACTTCTGCAAGGATAACAAAGTTGAGTTAGGTAATAATTATAAAGGCACGATTATATCCCTCCAGCCCGTACGATCAATCGTGTGGAATAACTAGTATCGATATGTAAAGGGTTGGTGTCAGAGACCTACGTAACCATAAATGCCACCTGTGACGTTTTAGGGCTAGTCGTGACGAGAATATCCGTCTGTCAATAAGTGTAGCAGACTTCTATTAGATTCAGTGAAGAACATAGACAGTGATTTGCTACATTTGACACTCATATGTGGAGGCCATACCAAAAAATCCTACATCATGTACATACATTAGTTATTGTTTGCAATTTCGGGGGGTAAGTCTTAAGACCCTCCATGTTGGTGCATCAGTTCTCGATATAGCGAGGACTAATAGATCCGTCATTAAGGCTATTATCAATGAAATCCGTAAAGCCACCTAAGAAAATTATGCTAGATATACAGGGTAGACAATCAACTTAACGATGCCATTCTAGAAATCCAGTACTTTGAACAAATTCTAAAAGAATTTTGGGGCAGACGTCTAAATGACGCGCTAGGAAGGTCCCTACCATTGAGTCTAGATATTTAGAGAACATGACGCATAGAGTACTATATCCACTTTTAGTATTTATTACTTCGTATTGAGTCACTTTGAAGGGTAAGCGAACAATGATGAACTAGCTAAATTCAGACATGATTTCTTGACGACACTACAAATCAAGACGTTGATTAGTGTTGGTAAAGCTAAAACAACCATCGTTACCACCAGAGTCATAGAATGGTATACCCAATGAGATTGTGATCGGGGTGTACCTTCATAGCACCTTCATCCAAGTGAACTTAAAGTATTAAACACTCTATTACCTTGAACATAATTCAGTCACTTAAGCATAATATTCAAAATATAATGTTTTCCAACTATAAATTCGCACATCACATAGACCTATCTCGCTCTAGACTAATACGTATACGGAGGGGTAATAACCCTAATGAGGCTTATCGTTCATCCAAGGGAAAGTATAAATTTACGCAAACCTAATTAGAACCCGGTGAATATAACGGCCGCTAGAGGTGCATAAAGTCATGGGTTAATTCAAAAACTGTGCATACACTCTATCTCTCAGGACAAAAATCATGGGACCTTGACAAGCTTTGTGAGAACGGATTTGTGCCTATTTATTTCTTTTAATTGGGGTGCAAAGACATATTGATAATAGATTATTGATTGGGCATTTTAACTTGGTTGTTTGTAAGTAGTATCTCAACAATATTGTAGTAGCCTATAATTGGAGGAATGAAAGTATTATATTAAGTTTTAAAAATTTTTTTCTTTGGTCCCCTTTCCCCCAATGTTTCTTATGCTGTAAACTCTAGCATTGAGTGAATTTATGGGACAGGATCTTTCTTAGTAAAGATTGCTAATATACTTGATAGTTGTGTCGAGTTTCTATCTTACTTTGGCTGTATTTATGTGTTTAGACTTCTACTTCGTCCGACATACTGCGTAAAGAACCCGTAAAACCCGTAAACTAAGAAGGTTATCTTGAGACACTAGGATACAACTTACTACGATCATGTTTTAGAGATTCTAATAATCCAGAACTAGGACTCTCAAACATGAAACTTGCGAGATTTCTATGAGATCATACTAAAAGAGTCGTCCTATATTCAGAAAATAAGATTTTGAGGGAACGAAATTTAGTCAGTTGACATCGAATTTTATGTATCATGAGTACTTGGAACAAGTGTCTATACCGGGGACATATCTTCTAGCCCTGGTAATGCATCCACTCGACCTAAGAGAACTTGATGAGAATTCACTCAGACTTAATCTAGACCCATTATGTATCCAATATTAGTAACTTATTATGATCATGTGATAGTTAGCCTGCTATTATTTGCATCTGTTTACATTATCTTTGCGCACCATGTTGATAAGTCTTCTCAGGTGCAAAGTAGAGTTCCCACTGTTTTAACATCTAGACAGTGAAAGCATCTTAAGCAGAACTGTTGTAGTTAATTGTCTTCTACTATAGCATCAGAAGGTAAGATGCACAATCATGCTGCATTTCATTGTACTAAAGACAATTATAAGTGAAAATGGATACCTTCACGACATGAAAACAATTCAAAAGTTAGAGGTCTCAGCAAAATACTTGTAAAAATTGAGAGCTGTGACAACTGGTATCATTAGAAATAAATTAGAAAGGAGTAGGGGAGAGGCCGTATTGGAGTGATAAAAACAACACACAATCAAGGAATCAAATAAACATTTATAATTGCATCTTTCGAGATCCAATATGGCGAAATGATCGGGGATCGATCACTGTGCTCCGATACAGGAAAGATCGGATAGTATTACAGTATAGCTATAAGAGGCACATGTGGTTGAACATGCGTAAACTTGGACAGGACGCAATTGAGGAATTACTGCCGCATAAGAAAATTT